GTGGTGTATCACGGTTAAGCAGCTAAACGGAGTATGTAGTGCAGGCCTTCAGCTCATGCCACATGACACTCCAACACTCTCCAGCTGCTTGGGGCTTCTGAGGGGGTCCTAACAGGTTCCAGGAAAGGTGCTGGAGATATGTGACTAGATGGAGTTCACTGTGCAGGCTCTTGCTTGTGCCATTCAGTGCAGAAGTTTCCTTTGCCACTTGGGGTTGCTGGGCAGGGTGCAACCGGGACCTGGAGCAACTTACTAACTCCTACAGTTGTTTGGGGAATTGCTCTTGTTACTTTTGCTGTCTTTGCTGCCATGAACTGTTTCCCCTCTGCCACACCACCCAGTCCTGGAGTCAGCTGATAATGGACTGAAATCTCCACTAACTGTGCCCTCAATAAACCTTTCCTCCCTTAATTTTGGGTGTTGAGTATTTTGTCTCAGCAATGAGAGAAAACTGGCTAACAGAAGCTCAATAATTAAATCTGCTCTATTTATTCTGTATTTTTAGTTTTGTTTTGCATATTTACCTCTTCTTTAAAATAAGTGAAATATATCAGACACACAAGCTTAAATATCACAGAGTTTCTCTGATAGGAGAAACCTAAAGCATAAATAAAAGATCAAAAGCAAAGTTAGACAGTAGTTAACAGGGAGATCTTGTAGATCTTTTGCTGGTGGATGGGGATCAAAAAGATGGAAGAGGAGAGAAGAGAAACATGGCAAGGGGAAAGTAAAACAATGTCACGTTCCAGTGTCAACTGCCCGTGATGAATGTTGTCATTATGTTCTACAAGCACATACTAATGAAAATAAAGTGCTGCTGCAAAGTTGATGCAGGTCCAGTGGATCATCTATGGTGAGTTAGGGAAGAAGGCTCCAAACCGATGGAACTAGGAACAACGGTCTGTGCGAATGTATTGTCCTTCTGTAGCTGCGTTCAGCACCCCGCAATTGGGCTGATTTGTTTTGACTGAGTTGAGAAAGCAGCTGCAGGAAACACAGGTCCCAGTCATTAAAGGTCATGAAAATATTACACTGTGTTCAGTCTCCTCTGAGAATCCCAGTCTTTATTTGAACTCCATGAAGTCTGTGAGAATTTTAAGATCCTTTTTAGAGTTTATAACTTTGCAAGAAGAAATTGTATTTGATGTTTACAATTTTTCCATGTGAGTAGCAAAATGTTACCCAAATATTATGTGTAGTCCCACTATATAAATATGAGAATTTTTCTTCTCTTTTGCTTTGTTTCCTTCTTTCCTTCCTCTACCTCTCCTTTTCTTCCTGACTTCTTTTAGTTTTTTTTTCCTTTTTCTTTCCTTCTCTCTTTTATTCTAACTGAGAGAAATTCTCATAAAATGAATGCTCTTCAAATTTTGCAAATGCTGTTTGGGCTCTTGCTTCAGGACTCCTGTGAATACATTGTCAGTGAATTTTTAAAAATAAAATTTTGAAATGCAGCTATTTATTCCAATCATTTATAGTCAATATGTTCTATGGGCAAAATGCATAACAAATAGTTATCCTTTCTAATTGTAATCACTACATTCATGAGCTAAATATTCTGGGCCAGACACATTTCACATGGTCTCCCTAATACAGCAGTTTTAGTTGCATCATTCTTACTATCTACATCTTATTTATTCTTTTAAATGATACTTATTTAATAGATGAGAACACTTAGGCCTGATAATTTTGACTTTTTAAAAACCATGCTTGTGGGGGAATCAAAAAAAATTCTGATTTTATAGCCAAAGTTGTAATTATTAAAATGGAAAAAAGAAATTGAAGTCTTAGTTTAAAAGCAACTTATACTTTGTACAGTTCAGGCTATTTTTACATTATTTAAATATTATTTAAATTAGTGAATTTTAACTGTAAATAATAATTTACATGTAGATTAACTGTTGTTAAGTATTATAGAAGATATTCACAAAATATACTTCCCAGAAATTAGCTTTCATTAGAATTGTGTTTTACTAAATGCTATTAGAAGAGATTCTTTCCATAACATAAGAGGAAACGTAAACGCCATATGTCAGTTACCGCTCATTTGACCCCTACAGTATCATACCCACAGCAATAGTAGGCTGGCTTAAGTCAGACTAATATGTAATAAGAAAGAAGACTTGAATCCTGTTTTATGACCCCAAACTTGTTCTTTTTAACAAATTAAAGTCTGTATTTTATGCAGTAATATAATACATTTATGTGAAAATGCCTAAAATAGCTCAGCACTGTCAGTCAATGAGTTTATATGCTATAATAATAACTAAAGGTAGTTGGCTTACAAGATCTAGCTCCTCCCTCCTTCCTCTGTTATTATTTTAGGTGGAGGATCAGTCTTTCTTCCGTAGGTTATCAGCCTCCGCATTCGCCTTCTGAAGCCTCACTCCTCGCACACAACCCTCGCTTCTCTGAGTGTCCTTGAGGTTAATGTCTCATGCTCCTTAGTCCTCGGGAGGGCTCCTCTTTCCTTGTTTTTCTTCCAGGACACATTCAAGCACTGTCTTACTCCTTTTGTAAGACATAAAAGACATGTGAAGAAATTGCTAATGTCTTTTCTTTTTACTTGTCCTATTACACATAACATGAATGACATTGCTAAAAGCTTATTTCAGTATACACCCATTCAATGTTAAATAGCTGTCTGATAAAGTTTATGTAAGATTGAGATAATATAGTTAAGCAGATAATCCCTAATATAATTGGTCAAGAATCTAAAACATCATTGTTAGAATAATGTAGAATTATTTTGTCTGTAATTTTTTAACGTTGTAGCTTGTTTGAATTTTTTATCAATTTTTATTGTGCTGGGAAGACAGATAAGTTAGAAATGATTTACCTGTTAAGTACATAATCTGGGGAATAAATGTTATTTTATTAAGCTATAAGATAGCAGGCTGTTAGTGCCTGATTAAAATTCATTTAGTGTGGTATCAGACTGAATGCACCTAAAAAACTTTGACATGTTAATCTGATTACATTGATTTGAATTCATCTGAAAGTTAAGTTCAGCATTAGTCATGGTTAATTACTGTCAGAAAGGATATGTTCTAGCTATTCATTTACAAAATATAAGCTTTGAGATTGCATGTGAATTAATTAAATTCCCTTTCTTTGTAGCAGCTATATGTAACACACAACTTCTAGCTAGTATAAAATATTGGATTAACTTCTAGAAAATGGACAGTATTCTCATGCAAATCTCTGTATAGCTGTTAAGAGGAGAGAATCTGCAAAAGATACACAGCAACAGAAATATACCAAATACAACCCATTTACAACACAACCCATTCCCTCTAAGGAAGGAAACCTCCAGGAATACAGAAGAGGCCATTAATTTGTGACTAAATATAAAAGGATTCTTGAGCTTGTTATTGGCTATGAAAATGAAACACTATTGATGAATCTTAACTTAATTGCTAATTATGAAGATCTAAGACATGAAATTGCATATGTAAGTCAGACTCCTGTGTGCTGGCATTCAAAGCCCTATAAACATTAGACTAAAAATGTGTGATGTCTTATTCAAATACAGGGGAAAGTTTTTGCTATTGAAGTCGGTCATTATTTGTCATCACTATTGACATAGTTGGGGATTTTTGTTTTCAATAGGGTACATGTGGTGAAAGAAAAGCTTTAGGCAATTTAAATTTGATCTTATCTGAAAAGAATGATTCATGAAGTGGGGAGCCATCAAAGCCTCAAGAGGTCTGGAGGCCCTCCATGCCAGTGTGTGGAGTGAATCTTTCTAGGTGAGCTGTGCACAGAAGTGGAGGAATGGTTTTATAGGAGTTAGGGAGCTCAGTGAACTTCATTCCAGGTTGGGCACAGCCTGATTAGCCTGTGACTGCCTGGAATGTCACTGTTGCTGCTTGCCAAAGCCGGATGTTTCTTACAAAAACACATACTCTCCAATCGAATTTGTTTCCCTCTATTAAATTTAACCTATTGAACACTGGAAAGTAAAAATCAACAACACTGATAATATTTCCACATTTTTTTCAAGTATCTCCCAAATACTTGCATTATTTTTATGATGTTGATCATATTGGTAATTTATTGCCTTTTCCCCTGGAGTATTTTATAAATTAATTTGTCCTTTCCTTAATATTATATTTAATTTAATTATAAGTTAAGATTCCATTCTTTAGGGCTCTAAAATGTGGTTAGAAGTAGCTGCACCAGCCTCACTCAGGACCCTGTTGGAAAACATAGTTTGGATGTCAAAACAATTTCTAGTACTCTCAGAAAGTATAAATTAACTGACTTTAAGACTATGCAATCATGCTTTTTTTTTTGTCTTTTTCTTTTTTATCGGTACCGGGGATCGAACTCACAACTGCCTGCTTACAAGGCAGGCGCTTATGCCCCTGAGCTAAATCCCCAGCCCCTCAATCATGCTTTTTTATGTAATTTTAATTTTGCTAATTTAAATTTGATATGGAAACACATATCAACATGCAAATACATTTAGGGTGTGAACCCCATTTTTAAAACAAAACCAATTTTTGAAATTTATTTTTCATACATATGTTCTATGAAAATTAATTTCTGAAGAGGTAATAATACCAACACCTAAATGAAACTTTTCACTCTTGACAAAACTAGAAGACTTATCTCTATTATTCTTATGGTATTGATGAGAAAACTGAATTTGACCTGTGTCAGATGCCTACCCCAGGACTGAGGTTTGCAGAAAGTGCTACTGAAGGAAGATTCTGTTCCTTGCCATTAGGATGACGTTGTAGAGTGAGGTTTCACGGCCTCGTGTACCACAGTGTTCTCAGAGGGGCAGAGCATGTTCGAGGAGAGAGGTGTGAAACAATGCGGAGAGCACTTTACAAAGTTTGTTTGTAGGGTTCAGTGTGAGCTTCTTCTCCACCAAGACATCACACACCTCGGATTACAATGTAATTGTTCCAGAACATGTTTTCATTTGATACTTTGAATGCATGTATCATTTGAACCTAAGGACCAAATGAGTTGCTATTTATTTTCAGGATTTCTGATTCCGGATGACCCCTTTGGATCTTGTGAGAACAAGTACTGTGGCTTAGGAAGGCACTGTGTGATCAGCAAAGAGACCCGGCAGGCAGAGTGCGCCTGCATGGATGTTTGCAGACAGCACTACAAGCCTGTGTGTGGCTCGGATGGAGAGTTCTATGCAAACCACTGCGAAGTGCACAGGGCCGCCTGCCTGAAAAGACAGAAGATTACCATTGTCCACGATGAAGACTGCTTCTTCAAAGGTAAAACAGGGTGAGCCTGAGTGCCGCTTCCTCTTTCCTTCCTTCTCTCTACTTGTACCTTCAATTCCAACTCTACCGGTGTCATATCAGTAAGTATCTGACATCAGCAAGGAGAAACATGAGGTGTGTGAAAGTGTACTTGGATGCAATTATGATTTCAACTGTGAGAATGAAGCTAGCCAAATTATGACTCACAATTTAATATAGCTGTGGCCTTTGCACCATCTGGCTTCCCAATCATGCTTGTCCTAGGATGCTGATGGCCAATTCAGTCTGGAGCCAAACCCACCTGGTGTGGCATGAGAGAGAAGCAACTGCCAAGCCGCGCTGTGATAACATCCCCTTCTTCCTGATTAGTAGTGATGGTTTCAGTGCACACCACACAATGCAGGTTAAGGAACCTGAAATTGCCCCATGAAATAACTGGGAAGAGCACAAACCTAACTCAGGCAATGAATCTGAGATGGCAATACTTAAGAAATGTAAAATATTAAAATGTGTGTGAAATAAGTTCTATTGGAAAGTTCTGTAGAAGAAATTTGATATATGATTTTAACATACTCTAAGTAACTCATCAGATGGTTTTTAACATTTATAAATCCATTGTTTATACTGGCAAGCATATATTCTTATCAGTAGTTATGATCTATAGTAAAGTTCTAGAGTTAATTATATAAAACTTGCATCATCCTAGAAGGTCGTGATCGACTCGATTGCTAGCCTTGGGTCCCAGCATCCAGTTTCTCAAAATGTTCCTTAAGTGGCTTATACTTGAAATGTTGTGTGATAGTTCATTTTTAAATTTATGGCTGAAATATGATGTCACTGCCGAGTTACAGCAGTACCACAATTTATGTACTTAATTCTTTCCTCAAGTCTGGTCGTCAACAGAATTGGACAATTTGAATCAAATTCAATGGTTAGGTTCAGTGTTGACCTTATGGAAAAGTTTGTTTCAATTCATATCCAGTTCAGGTTGTGACTAGAATTCTGGAAGGAATTAAGCTTGTGAACTGAAGTACAAGTTATTTTGGTAAGATTTTTCAATTTTGGCAAAAAAGCATTATTTCAAAGGTGATAGAAATGACACACAAGGCTTTTCAAATGATCTGAGATGCAATACATTATAGTCAGTGTGGATATGAGAAGCTAAGCATAATTGATGTAAAATCGTAAGTTTATTTACCACAAGGAATTACGTACAGTTTAAATACAATTTCAGAGAATTTTTTCATACAAGATTGTTTTCTTTTACCCCAAAAGTAGCAGATTCTTTAGTTTTAAATTCAGTTCATTCTGCTTTTTATCAAATATGTTTTGTTTATATTTAAAATGTATTCTATTTTCATTGTACTTTGATGCTCACAGAGTATTTTTCTATAATTTTTGAGTTGAGATAGTACAATTAAAACTGTTTCACGGATGCATGATATAATGTTAAATAAATAGTATGTAGTAAGATGAGCACGTTAACTTAGAATCTTATCCTCAGCAAAGGTCATATTCACATGGTATCCAGGAATCACTTGTATGAAAACACATGACATTAAACACACGTGGGAAAATAAGCTGAGTGATGAATGTTAAGTTTATAGCTGGATGCTTGGGCGTAGTGGTCACTCTCTGTCTCTCTCCTAATGTGCACATACAGATACATATGTATCAATATAAAACACATGAAAATAATGAGATACATTATTTTTACAGATTTCTTTCATAAAACACAGATTTTAAAGCATTTATCCTTCAGGTTTACACTAAGCATAATTATTAGATCTGTGTTTATATCAGGATAACTTTCTCATCACACATGCTATGAAAATTCCATTTATATTGTTTACTAAAGGTTAGAATATTTTCTAAGTGTCAGAAATGGTAGGTTTGCTTTTTATTTGTTTTACTGTTTTACCTAACAAATAGCTAACTCATGAAATAATTCTAGCATAAAAGGAGTAAATAATATAGGATGAAACCAACTTCCTGTCTGATTATTGTGCATTTGGCCAAGTTTGGTATGTAAAAATGATTCCGTAAATCTGAAGACCTCACACTACTGTCATATGACTAAAATTAATTCTGTGATAAAACATTGTTTTCTGTGAACTTTCAGGAATCTATGTTACTTCCTTAATGGCCTAATGGAAGAAGCAAACCAAAATATTAAATCCAAGAACTGCAAAACTTTATAGTAGTTAGATATTATTCAATAGAAAAACAAAATAATTCAAACAGAAAACACTTTGCTACTTTGGAATTAATTAGAAGTCTTTGTGAAAAACTTAGATTACAGATCACCAAATGAGAAGCTTTTTTTTTTGAACTAAATTTACTTTTTTATTTTCTCTCCCTCTCCCTGATCCTCCCCTTCTTCCTTCTCCTTCTTCTTTGGATGGACCACAGTTTCATTCATTTGTTTCTCACTACTGCATTATAAAAAGAGAGTTGAGTACTAAAACTGCATGAGAGATTTTTTGGTACACAAAACATAAATGTTTTTATCTAAATCTTTCCATCAAAAGTTTGTTGACCTCTGCTTTAAAAATTACTGATACCTTAAAACTCATTGTTTAAAATATTAGCAGATCTTTACTACTCTGTAGCTCTTTACATATGTCTTTCTGTGATAGACAGATTTATCTGGTGAAGTTGAGTGAAACTAAATACACACACATGTACATATGAGTGAAAATAAAACAGGGAAACTAAATAAGGCCTGTGAGTATTATCAAACTTAGTATTCTGAGTTTGAAATGTCCTCCAGTTTTGAAAGATGTTACTATTTGAAGAAACCTGGTAAGAGTTCCTCAGATCTCTGTAATATGTCTTACAAGTGCATATAATTTGACAATTATCTCAAAATTATAATACAAATTTAATATAAAGAATATTAGAAATATTTTAAAGTTTTAAAGAAGATAAAACTTGTTTACTCATTACTTATTTGTATTTTAAGGTAAGTTCCATTTGTTTTCCATCTCATATATTTGGCAATAATATGTAAAATTATTAAAATAGATTGTATAACCATATGTACTGGTTCATTGATTTAAGATTAGAATCCAGGAGAGACACATATATTCTATATTGAAATATTTTTGCATGTAGCAAATATATATTTTCTTCTGATTTCCACTAAAAATTGAAAATATTCTTAAGAATTTTCTTTAATGATGTAAGACGTAGATCTCTAGATTAAATAGTGTATCTATTGACATAGATATAGATATAGGATATAGAATATTGTAGCATTTGTTTATTAGCATCAAATAGTTTGTGGTGATACAGAGCATAACATAAACCATTCTATTTTTACACTATGGTTAAGTATTATTTCTGTGGTAGGAGGATTTGGCCTATTATATCCTTCATATACCCCAAAATAATGTTAGAATTTGACAAATATATTTATTATTATGTTTAATTTATGTCAGATTTCTCTCTGTAACATATTGAAATTTAATTTTTGAGTATTAGGATAGTCTTTTTTGAACAAAGCAAATGCTACTTTATTATTTTTTCCTAGTTGTAGTTATAAAGTAGTTTAGCTATATTATTTCATAATTTCTTTGGATGTATTGATTTTCTTTAAAGCCTGTATGGTTATACATTGTGTCAATTTGGGAAGTCCTGAAGTTTAACTGAGAGACTCAGCAGGGAGCAAGATTCTTACTCTGTAAATACCCTCATCCTGTGCAAGAGGAGGGCAAGGGAATTTTGTGAGTGCTACACCTGCCCTGGACACAATATAAGGGAAGAAAAGAGGCGTGCTCTTTCCCTCTTTTGCTCTGCTTGCTTTTGTGGGCTGCTGTCTTGAAGTGCTGCCCCAGTGCCATGCCTCTGGCGGAGCCAGCTGATTATGGACTAAAACCTCCATGAATAAAACCTGCTATCCTTCATTTTGGGTGTCAGGTATTTTGTCCCCAAAATAAGAGACAAGCACCCGAGACAAAAGCTATGTGCACATTGCTCAACTAATGGGAAAAAAAACAAAAACAAAAACTATTTCATTAGTTCAAATAATTTTTCTTCTACCTTAAGAATTTTTAAATATTGAACCAGTAATTACTTCTCATGGATACCTCAGTGTACTGTGCTTCATTTCTCAGTATCCTAGTTTTAAATATGTTGAATAGGAAGCATTTGTAACTAATACATTTGAAAACTTTTTATTATGCTCAGCGTATGTAATTGGAGAAAAATGCTTTGGAAGATGCATTGGAAGTTTTTCTCTATTGGTATGCATTACATTTCTTTTAAAATTCCTTTTGAAGAAAAACATTTCAGATATTTCAAAGATATTTTAAAAACTTATTAATGGTAAAAGTTTTAAACCAACTTGGATAAATGAAAAGCTTTGCATGTTATCCTTCAGCCAGTTATATGAGAAAAGGTTTGAGTAGAGTGATGTTAAACAACAGAGATCAGGCACTTTTTAACATAATGGAAACAGCGTGGATAATTAGCACTGTCACTCTTCTGCTACTCCTTATATGAAGTATAAAAGGCATCTTCAAGTCAATAAGAATTTGAGTTAGTTTGGTTCAGTCATTCAAAATCAGTTTTAGTTCAAGCCTATAATATGTATAATTACTGATTGAATCCAAATGTAGTTTATAATTAAAACTATAATTAAAAACTAAAACTAAAATTTAAAAATCTCAAATTTCCCGTTTCTTAATGACTCAGAATTAGTTCTATCCATATAAATATTTTTTGCTTATTGTCATTAATTTAATTGTACCTGTATGATTTAGAGACCTATAAAAATGTGAGGAAGTACACTAATGATAACACTTGCTATCAGAAAAGCAACTTTGGCCTAGAATGTTGGTATATACCTGTAATGCCAGCACTCGGAGAGGTTGAGGCAGGAGAATCACTGTGAGTTTGAGGCCAACCCAGGCTACATAGTTCAATGCCAGCATGAGCTATGCACTGAGACCTTGTCTCAAACAAACAAACAAATAACAACAACATAGAACCAGAAGAGCAACTTCATT